TTTTTTTTTTTTTTTTGCTGGGGATTTTGCTCCACCTGTCAATAGGAGGTTGTATCAGGGTGTCCATAAGACAAGAGTTGACTGTATAATATAAATACAGTAGCAGTAGCAGCATTGACAATCAACTGTTCAATTTTCATTGGGACACTCTCAACCTTTTACATACCTTACAAAAACACATTGAGCTTGTTTTATTCTTTTATTCTTATCGTTAGTTACAAGAATGGTTTAATTGTTGTGTTGCATTTTGATGACCTGGGCGTGAGAGCAACCCATAGACTGCGAGGACATGATGGGGACGTCCACAGTATAGCTTGGTGCCCTGTACCAATTGAACAACTTGACCTTGGTGTGTTGTAATTTCATTCATTAATTTATTAGGATATTAATTGTTTGCACTAAATGTTTGGTAAAATTGAGGATTGAGGTATGCACAGTGTACGTCCAACTTATTTTTTTTAGGAAGCCCTTGATTTTTTAACACAATAGGCCTTTTGCAACAACAGGTCAAATGACCCTACCTCCTGTAAAAAGAGATGTTTTGTGTCAAAATGAACACCAGAAATCGGAAGAGCACCTCATTATTAGTAAGAAGGCCTATCGAGTCCTGGAAAGCATTTACTGTAGTATTGTAAAGTAAGGGCAGGCATCCCAGACCTCCTATATATCCTATATTTCCTATAATTTGTATACATGTAGGATCCTATAAAGAGCCTATATTTAAAGAAAACCTCCTATATTTCCTATAAATAGGACGACTGCTGATTGATACATTTATATTTTACACTGTTTAGCATATTTGGCAAAGGAAATAAAATGGCCCCTTTTTTTTTTGTTCTGTTTTTTTTTTTTAATGACTTTTTAGTTCTGCAAATCATTGCCTGTGCACCCTCCCGATCCCTGGTTACGCCACTGAAAAGCTATCTTAGCTTATTCTATAAAGTGCGTATATTTTTGGGAAAAAATCCTATATTTTCCTATATTTAGAACTTGCACAGCCTATATTTCCTATCAAATTTGTCTAAAAAGTGGCTGGGATGCCTGTAAGGGAAATAATGATGAAATAAAGAAAATCTCATAAGTACTTTACCAGTAGTGTACCAGTACATTAATTGTTGAAAAATTATAATTTTGTAATTTTGTTTAATATTTTTTAATTTTATTTTAATCTAACAGGACCTCTTCAGAAAAAAGCTCTTGCTTCTCAAGGCAATCTTATCATATCAGGATCTAGAGATCAAACTATCAGGCTATGGGACACTTTAGAAGGAAAACTCATTTCCATTTTTAACTTGCCTAAACGATCTTCCCAGAAGTGGAGGGATAAACATGATTGGCAGAGTAAGGACAGGCTGTGGCTGGCTGTATGTTGGCCTGCATCTTTGCAAAACAAGATCATTTCAAGTTCTCACAGGTTTTTATTATAATACTATTAAATATTTATTATTTATTAAATATGTGATGTACAATTTTTGCAGCCTGCCCGCTCACTCCCTCACTCTCTCACTTGCTCCTCTATAGATGCTTTGCATTGATTTCCTAGAGGAATATTATTCTGGGGAACTAAAAATAGGCTGTTTTTTCTTATGCAAAAAAAAAAAAAAAATCCATTGTTTTGTCCACTAGAACAATTCCTCTCTGGCTTCAGTACAATGGATCTGTACCCGTATTTCCAATATTTGTTCTTATTTTGCTTACATAAACCTAGTCATCTCCAATTGGAAATTGCTGAACATCCCAACACGAGCCTCTCTATTTAACCAATGCAAGCTGACTATCAATAATATCAATATTTTTCTATTCCTCATCAGTGGTGAGATTCTACTATGGGATCTGAGTGTTGCTAGTGGACCAGAGCAGGCTCAGAGCTTTGGCCAAGGTCACTCGAGGATTGTATTTAATATTTGTTGTAACAAGGAAGGAACTAAAGTCATTTCTTGTTCAATGGACAGACAGGTACACCATGTACATGTAAACCCCCAAAAATGATAAATATGAGAAGGCATCTAGATAGATAGCCAGGGCTGGCCTACTACAGCTCTGCTTTTCAATATTATTTAGTTAGGCACAAATGGCATAGTATGGAGGACACTCAACCTGGGTTTATTTCCTGAACTTTGTGCCATACTGTACATGAGTAGAGTTGATTTCTGGTTCTCTTCTGCTGTTCTTTGAGGGTTTTTCTCGTGGTTCTCCATCTTTCAACCCTATGCAAAAATCAACTTCCAAATTCCAATTAGTTTTCAGTGGATGAATGGCTACTTAGATTTTAGTGATATTCTTTTAAATTTGCTCCACTTTCTTATTTTTAGATAATTGTTTGGGACCTTCAAAACTGCCGCAGCCTCCATTCCATCACCACACTTGGTGGTTTTGTTTACGCCCTGGATATCTCTCCTCTTGACCCTGGAACCCTTGCTGTAGGCGTGGGAGACAACATGATTCGATTGTGGAATACAACCTCTTCAGCTGGTGCTTATGATTCTGTAACCCTGTGGCAAGGAATCAAGTCCAAAGTTCAAATGGTAATTGCATTTAATATCATGTTTAATAGAAAGAATTACAACCTTCATATCTTATTGCTTTCCTTAAACAAACTCTGGTTTAATCAAAATACCTTTGAATCAAAGGAGAGACTTAAACAAACTCAACTTAGTGTACAGGTTGTGCTTAAGTCCAGTCCCAGACCCTTTTTTAGCACACTCCATTGAACGGCAGGTCACAGGGCCACAACGGGGTAAGGGTGCTTTGAGGGTTTTTCTGTGAGGTTCTCTGGCTTTTCCTCCATCCTCAAAAATCAACTCCTAAATTCTAATTCGATATATTGCCTGCCTTATCAATTGAATTGCAATACCCATTAGGCATTCCACCATCCATCCAGGAGTGCTAAAGTCCATTAGATACCAAGTCCAGAAATCCCACCCTAGACCCCAGAAATGAGAGGCAAATGCACTTCCTCTACAACACCCTTGATTTCCTAAAATAAGTTATTTCTGGCACTTACTGGTGCATTTTCCTTTAGGTTTCTTGGCATCCTCACAAGGAAGGCCTCCTTGCTTTTGGTACAGAAGATGGTCAAGTTGGAATATACAATACTGTTTCTAAAAAGTAAGGCAGCTACCTTATTGTTGGTAAACTTTGATGTCACTACTAGGTGCACAGGTATATTACATGCACAGACACCTTGTTTCTGGCTCAATGTTACTAGTTAAAATGACCTGCAACAGACTAGCTCCAATTCTAGCTGGACATTGTCTAATGGCTGGTTGTTATTTTAAGCCTTGAAATACACATGTATTCAACACAATTTTATGATTGTACTCCCAAATTAAATTGTTTATTTCTGGCTATGCAGACCTGAAGTCTTTGCAGCTTACCACAAGAAGACAGTGTACTCTGTGTCTTGGGGACCACCTTGTCCAGCCATCAGTAAGTACTGGATCGGATCATATATTCTTCAAATGTACACCTGCCTCTTGTTGATGATGTCTTTCTTTTTGTTCATATTTTGAAGAAGGCAAAGATGATAGTCAGTATATGTCACTCGTACAATTGTTCTGGTGATGGCATTGTACTGGAAGTTATATGTTCACAGGCTAGAAGACATCAGAGTAATTTCTACACCAAGTTAATGCACCTTTTTTTCTTGTTTGTATTTGTAAAGAAGATAAAGAAGAGAGTGTATGTCACCTGTACAGTTGTGGTGGTGATGGTAGTGTGCTGGAACACAGACCTGGCCATGCAATGCAAGATGCCATTGACGTTAATGCAATGATCAAATCAACAAACAACTTCAAGGTTATTATAATATAATAGTCTTTATTAGAATACTAAGGGACGACCCTCAAAACACTTTCGACTTTATCCCTACCCTGGAACAACCTCAGGGCTGATGAAAGTCAGCGCATGGCTTATTCACCAAACAAATTAAAATTTAAAGTGTTTAGGTTTTGCGGACTGGGGAGAAAACCAGAGAACCTGGAGAAAAACCCTCAAATTAAGGGAAAACCTAACAAACTCTGCTGATATGTAATGCAAAGTCCCGAAATTGAACCCGAGTCCCCAGAGTTGCAAGGCAAGTGTGGTTCAGATATGCCCCCTTTGATTTTCAAAAAAAAAAAGTAAAAATTCATCAGTAAAAATTTGAACTTTTGTGGAGGTTCAAACGTATTTATTTTGAATAAAGTTGTTTCCTTGTTGACTTGATAGAAGGGTCATAAATTTCTTACTGAGTGAAAGGAGAGGGGGGGAAAGGAGAAGGGGATATGACGAGTTTTCAAAAGTTTACTGCAAATCTTCCAACCCCTTCCCCCCATTTCCCCCCTTACCCATTATATTCTTTCTGGGCACCATTAAGTTTTTCTTTGTATTTAACAGCATAAGCTGATGTGTCGGACTGATGTAGCTTGGAACATTAGTGGCAGAGCCATGGCTCTTGGCAATGATGATGGGTCTGTCTAAATGTTAAACCGTATTAATGTGAACTTACTCAGTATTTTATTATATATTTTTTATTGACCTCTTGCTAACTAGTTTTATATTGTGTCTAGGACCATTGAAGTATTCACTCCTCCTTCCCTTAGACGGGTGTGTACAATATCTGTTCATAAGAAGATCATTACTTGTCTTGCATGGCATCATGGGTATGGCGATGATAGTGCAGAGGGTAAGGGAACATACATGTCATCTTTTATTGGTATAGTTGGCTACTAAAAAAGTAAGAACATGAGGGAGGGAATAAATAAATGAATGGACGTACGGGCGGATAAACGTAACGAACGAACGAACAAAAGATCGAACTGACCAAAATATCTAATCCAAGAGGTTTTGCTTGCTGTGCTTTGTGAAGTTATAAAGCACTTAGGGATTGGCAGAGCACTCGAGAAGTGTTGAGAAGCACTCCGCTACGCGTCATGCTTTTCCTAACTCTTCTCTAGTGTTCTGCCAACCCCTGGGTGCTTTATAACTGCACACAGCGCGCGCGCGAGTTTTCTATTTCTTCATAATTACACTTCAGTATTTTTTTTAAACATCCACATAATGGACTTCCGTTTTATTTGAATATCTATATAATAAGAATATCAAATGATTTGATTTGATCATAGGAGAAGAAAAGTATAAGTTCTGGTTGGCGTCAGGGTCGAACGAATCAACAATACATATCCACGATCTTAGCAACGCTCTACGTTAGTATGGACCTTACAGGGGGTACCCAGGGGAGGGGTACAAAGTCGCCTCAACCAAATACACTTTTTCCCTTCAAATATTATCAAACCCTAAATCAACGTCTAGCCAAGTCCCATTGAAAAAAACCTCTTCAGCTTGGACGTAATGTTTTCCATTTCAGACCACGTGTCATTCCCTAGAGTATCATTTCTTTGTTTAATGGTTGCTGACATCAGACATGTATGAATATGGAAGGATTAATGGAAAACATTTCCCCAAGCTTAAGTTTTCTACTGGGCTTTAGTTGAAAGGATATCCCTGTTAAAGTAAACTTATAGACTGTCAAATTGGGGAAGGGGGGAGTCAGAAACCCCAGGATCCCCTAAATATGCTCCTGCTTGAGTTCCCCGGTTTAGGGCATTCCAAATGTTAATATCTTAATCAAAAGATTGTCGCTAGGGTTTACATAGTTTCCACTGGGGGCTTGTAAGGGATTACTTCGTTTTAATTTGGACCATAATGATTCATTTATGCTTATCAACGATCAAAAGTGTTGATGATGAATCTTTCACAAGGGCCTTTAATTGCCGTTATCAGCAATCACTGATTTATCTAATCGTTTTTATCATATCTTATCAGGTTCTAATTCTGACACTTCTTCATCACCAACTGCCCCACCCATCACGTCCAGTCATCGTAAGCTCGTCGGTCACTCGGGTCGTATAACAGCACTGTCTTGGAGTCCACATCAGTGTAATATGATCGTCTCAGGGTCCTATGATGGCACTGCTCAGGTACAAGATCATCGAGTCTTTATAATTTTGCTTATTCTTTGGGTGAAATCACATAACTCAAAATCCCTCGAGATATTAATAACAGTGAAACAGCCGCCATGTTTGTTGGTCTAACAAGAGAAGCTAATGAGGAATGCGTTGTTATCGTCAACCAACATGGCAGCTATGACGTAAGATGCACACACTTACGTCATGACATGGTATTTTTCCGGACACTTTTATGCGATTTCCACGTTTAAAATTTAAAAAACCACGATAATAAAGTGTCGCAGAAATTATAATGACGTGAAAATTAAGTGACCTTTCAAGTATAATAATGTCTGGCATTGTTATAGTTATTCAAGAATTGCACTGACGCCCCCCTTACAAAAAAATGAAATGTGAAATTAAAATTTTCAAAAAAAAAAAATCTTTCTTTTCGAAGTTATATATTTAAGGCAAAGCTAGCGTCCTCCGTAATGCAAGCAAACAGGAAAACTTAACAGAATCGGGTTATTATCGTGCGCCTTATTGTTTCAAGACGATATTTCTCGAATTTTAGTTTCATCTTTCACGTTTACCTAAAGTGGGCTCCCTGTGGATTAACCTAACGTATAAGACCAAATATATAAACCGATATCATAATAACTGACGAGCCCACGAAAACGAGAACACCCGGTCATTAGTTCACAATAAAAGATATAAAAGCACATAAATGCATTTATATTCGCGCTATCCACCTTAACTTTGAATGAGCAGCCTTGCAAGATGACTGGGTCAACTCATTGTCGTGCGCTCGTCAGCCATTATGAAACAGTAATGATAAAAAGGTAAATTATACACCGTGAAAAGATGAAAAAACTTACTGACGTTTCGGACGCTAGACCTTCGTCGGAGTAAAAGAGAAAGAGGTGGTAGAAAGGAGTGTGTTTATATGATAGAATAAGACAAAAGAAACCAATGAGAACAAGGTAGGCAAGGAAACAAAAACACAATCGAAAGACAACGGTGAATACCAGATACTAAATGCTATAGCTTGTTTTGATCACAGGTTTGGGATGTCGAGGAAAGCAGTCCTGTTGCTAACTATCGTGACCATGTGGGACGTGTGATGTCTGTAACATGGAGTTTTCTCGATCCTGATGTTGTTTACAGTGGAGGAGAAGATGGGACTGTTCGACCATGGAGGGTTAGTACACAGGATCACACCCATCCCCCCGTTTACGGTAAGTAATAAAGATATCACTGTTTGTTATATTTTAACTCGTTGGGAAGAGTTTTCATTAATTTGCCTTCGCTTACAAAAACCCTCTCTGTACTTGGTCATTTTTCTCTTTTTTTCTCTCTCTCTCTCTTTTTTTTCTCTCTCTCTCTCTTTTTCTTTCTCTTTTTCTTTCCTTCTTTCCTTCTTTCTTTTTCTCTTCTCTTTTCTTCTCTTCTCCACTCTTTTCTTCCTCTTCCTTTCCTCTTCCTATTTTCCATTTCCATTATTTTTCATTTCTAATCTTTGATTTCACTTTTCTCAGTTCGATCTCCTAATTAACTTCTACTCATCAAATAATTCATTGAAAACTTAGACAAGCAGTCCTCTCGCGGAGAAAGTAGATCATCAAAGAACAAAAAGAAATCCAAGTCTAAAGCAAAAGATAAGACCTCGCTCAAAGAAGTGAAAGACGACGCGTATGCAACCACTGGAAACATCGATTATCATCAAGAGGGAATGGCTACATTAATACAAGACAGTATTTACGCGTCCAAGGAGTTTGACTCTCAAGAAAAAGCTGGTCTAGAATCGCAGAAAGAAGGTAATCAGACAACGGAACTGTTATCATGGAGAAAACCCATGTTATCAACCAACACAACTAACGTCAATCAACCTGATACAGCAAAGATTGTTTCGTCAGTTGATCTAGCATTTGATCAAAGAAATGACGACCTGTTTGATGCAGAATCTATTGGGGATGATGTCGATGATGCAAGTTCATATACAACTCAGGAATCCGGCCCTACAGTCGTCGTGTCTAAATCTAGAAGTAAGGGTTTTATATGCTTTTATCTAATTTCACGTCCCATTTTCTATTCTACGGTGCCCTGAGGTGCGGGCGAGGCGCTCTCATTATATCCGGAGCACAGATCATTCAAGGGGTAACAGCCAAGTCTTTCTTTACCACTCATTGTAATCCAACCACGTTGCCGGGGCAAGAGGAGCATCTTTTATAAATAATTTTCTCTAATGTGATACCGTATATTTTCAAGGTGATGCAGCAAAGAAGAAAAAGAAAGTCAAGTCACTGTTTCCCTTATCAGCTGTGGCGGACAACAAGTCGAAGGCTTCAACACAGCAAGAGTGCATTGCGCTTGCGCAGTACCTCTATGATAAGCAAGGTTGGTCATTTTCGTAGGTTTTGAATGAAAGATTTTCTTTTAAGTTTGATTGGGAGAGAGCCGCCCGCCAATATATATATTGCTTTTCTTTAAATAAAGTTTATCAATTGATTGAATGATTGATTCATTGATTGAATTTGGCAAGCTGTCACTCACAAACACACACAATACCATTACATTGAATACTTCCTGCATATTTGACAATGTTTTCCCAATTCAGCGTGACAAACCTCCAGATGATTCGTTTTCTTTTGTTTTTACTCTTCGAAAAATTCATGAGAACATGTATACCAAAGGATACGAAAGGAATAACTATGATATCCCGACGAGTTTCAAAACAATAGCTTTTTCATTCCCCTAGAGGTTTGTCGTGTTCAATCGGGAAAACATTGTCACATTACGAATAGGGTCTATTCCCATAAATGTTGATTTTTATGGAGAGAGGAAAACCAGAGAACCTGGAACGTGTTGGGCACCCACGGCTCAAACCACCGACCCCGAGCGTGAACTCAACTTTGGCGAAAGGACGACGTATTAGGAGCATAGACCATCCATGCCATCCTAAATTATAGTATATGACCTCTTTACCCTTAGATGGTACAGCAAGCAGTCCCGATTGTCCTGACGCAATAGTTCCTGGCGAGGCCTCTCACGTCAATCTGGGATTCTTTGCTGATCGCCGTAGCGCGTACAAAATGATCGCTACTGAAGGTTAGTCCTTTTCTTGTTGAAAGATTTCTACGTCCGAAGAGTTAAACGATATCTCAAAGAAACTTCCAAAAAAATTTCCCCTAGGCCGCTTATACTTTACTGTCAATGTACCTTTTAGGTCTTGATCTTGAGGACGGGGCTTATTTTGAAGGAAAATGTTTTTTAAAAATACACTGGGCTTAATGTTTGGGATGACACTGTGCTTCAAAATACTGTAATTAATGTTGTAAGCTGCGGTCAAGAACTAATAAGGTGCTTGCCTTTGTATGTACGTTATGTTTTCCATTTGCAAAGCCATTGCGTACGTTTTTATGATGATTTGCGTGCAATTTACGACGCGTGTTTTGTGTGGAACGTTTAGTTGAAGACGTCAGAAAAGAAATCATTTTTTCTATTAAGGTCAGCACCATTCTTCTGCAAACAACCACGACTATCAGCTGCAACTAGAGGTCTGGAAAGGAAATCTTGGAGGCGCATTGGAAATGGCCATCAAAGCAAAGCAACTCACTGAATGGCTCGTAGCGCTAAGTCCCTTGGGTGAGTACTAAAAGTCACAGTTGCTGTGGCAACAATTGTTAATAGTTCCCCTTGCTGTGGGTTTGAGACTGTGAGGGCTGGCGTAAGAATTGTACCAGACAAACTTCCATTGAATTGTCAAACTTGGGTAATCGTCAACTGCCTGCTAAATAGAGGTTTGCCGCTCAAAGATGGTATACTTGAGCGCAAAAATCCTTTTTGGGAATTTGACAACTGACCGCTTCTTAGGTGACGCTCATTGTCAAGAGTGACGCATGTTTTTATTTTTTCTTTGTACTCGATAGCTGGACATGATGTATGGTTGAATACAGCAGAGTCATTTGCAGACCAGTTGGCTTCTCAAGGGGCACACCAGAGAGCCGTGCTTTACTATCTTTCCTGTCATAAAGTATACCGGGCTATAGATGTATACAAGAATCAATCCATGTTTAGGTAAGCTATACAACGAATCGAAAAATGGCGACCGATTTGAATAACTGTTGTTCTGGACTGAGTAGCGTCGTGTTCGCGTGGAAACATAAAAGTGTTTGGCATGTATGAGAGGCTAGTCGGCCCAGAACAATAGTTATTCAAATTGGTCGCCATTTTTCGATTTGGTGTATAGATTAGTGTATTCTTTTAGAGTTAAAACAATATATGTTTTGACTTAAGAAAAACGTCTTGCAAATGTACGCATTTTAAACTGCGTACTCTCTTTGGTAGAAATATTTGAGGAAAAAAAACACAGTTGGACGTCATCGGTCATGACGCACCATGGTCGTTATCTCCTGAAAGGTCGACTATGTGGCTATGCTGCACAACTTGCTACTAGCTGATACGCCTTAGAGTGCTACCACATATCCATGAAAAACTTTGTAAGAAATTGCACAAATGTGAACAAATTAGTAAGTTCAGTAGACCTCAGTAATCCGTACACCTACAAGACTCTGCACTTTTTTTAACAATTTTGTTAGTTACCTTTTCACGAATATATGGTATGCACTTTATAGTAGCTTTGTGCTGGAAAATTAAGGGTGTCTAGATGGATAACAATTGGTCTCTTTATCCTGTTCTTAACAGGGAAGCCATTGGCCTCGCTAAAGTGAGGCTCTCACCCTCAGACCCAGTCCTTAGCGACCTGTATTGTTCCTGGGCAAGAAAACTGGAAATGGAGAATTCCTATGAACAAGCTGCAAAATGGTAAGAGGAAATGAATTAGAATTAGAAAGTGGGATATTGGATAAATGGGAGAGGAGGAGATGAAAAATATGAGGAAGGAAAAATGGATGAATAGATGGGAGGTGTACATTGATGGGATGGGGTGAATAAATATTATATTTTTATTTATTTATTTAAATATTTAATAATATTAATTTTTTCTTTCTTGCATTGCGCTTTTGATCCTGATCATATCAGAACTCATAAAACCGTTTGCTCCAAATACCGATCCACTAATATCACTGCTGTTGGCTTTTGCTGACGCCTCTAGTATATATTTCTTGTCTTAAGCTTTACTTCATTTTATACTTTAATGTATTTTTGTTTAAATGTAGTTTATATGTACATGTCTTTTATCTCAGCCTGAGCTCGCGTGGACTTCGAGTTTTTTCTCAGYCTGTGCAAAGTTACTAGATAAAATTAAAAAAAAGAAAGTTCGAAGAGAGGAGACAAACGGGTGGCTAGATGGGGAGAAAAGAAAGGATGGACGGGAGTGACTGTGTTGTCGAGTGGATGATTGATGGATATAAAGAGGGATGGATGGGTTGGATTGGTTGGTCGAGTGAATAATAAAAAGATACTGAAAGGTATTACCTTAATTATTCAAATTGTCGTTTTTCAGTTACATAGCTGCGAGTTTACCAGCTGAAGCTGCGAGAGTCTTGAGTACACGAGGTGACCAATCATCTTTGGCCACAGCTCTACAGGTACACAATGCAACATAGTCAAAGAACAGATAGATCACATGAGCTGGGAACTACGCAATGTGGTGGTTCKGTTTCTGACCGTAACCGTTACCTTGAATCTTCAATATCCTCTTGCTTCATTTAAGTCAGGGCATGGGTATCTCACAGATCGAATCCTGAAACAACCTCTAGGCTGATCTAAGTCAGGGCATGGGTAACTCGCAGATTGAAACCTGAAACAACCTCTAGGCTGATCTAAGTCAAGGCAAGGCTAACTCGCAGATAGAGCCATGAAGCAACCCCTGGGCTGATCTAAGTCAGGGCATGGCTAGCTCGCAGATTAAACCCTGAAACAGCCTCTGGGCTGATCTAGCTCGCAGAGCGAATGGAAATTTAATGTGTTGGCTTTTGAGCAAAGTACTTGCATCGCCAAAAGTGCTATCGTAATCCTAACAGTTTTTATTTCTTTCCTTTAGGTGTCAGTCATTTCTGGTGAGGACCAGCTTGCCTCGTCTTTAGCTGTCCGTGTATTACATATTTGCTTAGAGACTGGTAACTGGGATGCTGGACACAAGGCTTTGGCGCTGTGTACTGGAGTAGAGGTTTGTTGCCGTCTCAGTTTCGCTATTTTTGCAATGGAAAAAAATTGAATTCTCTCAAACGACAAAAACCAATCCGACCTTAGTAAATGTATTCGTAATTTGGGCTAAAAAATGTTTCCTTGAGTGGTTTTTGGACCGATTTGAAGCGTGTCACGATACAAGTTTCTCTCTACTAATGATGCATAAACGCTTTTATCGTTAAAAGCGGCGGCCATCTTAAATCACAAGGCATTGTGGTTCATCCAGGGGGCGAATAGACAAAGCTTTGTTACAATTATTGCGTCGATTGACATTTACAAAAATGGACTAAGAAAATTTTTAAAATATCGTGGGGTCGATATTTCAGCGTCTCTGTTTTGTTTTGCCCCCTGGGCGACTCATTATGCCTTGCGATTCAAGATGGCCGTCACACCTTCTACGTCGTCCATTGTCGGATCGGTCCAAAACCAGTCAGTCACTTTTTTCAGCGCCCACATTTGGGATACATTATTTAAGTTGGTTGATTTCTTTCACACTCCAGCTTAACTAAATACTTAGCAATGTCTGTTTTCTTTAAACCAGGGACATCTTTTCGCTCTTTGTGTTCATGAGTTACTGGTGAAAGAACTTGTTGGAGCAGGTTTTGTACAAGACGATGATTTCAAGGATAAAATTCATTCTGAGCTCTTCACTGTCAAAGTCAATGAGAAGAACACGAAGCTAGACTCTTTGATAGGTAAGGAGAAAACATATTTCAGCCATCACACAGGTATAAATCAACTTCAAAATGTACGATTCTTAGTATTTTATCCTCACTGCATACTCATTGCCGAGTCACGGGAATTAAGATATGGAAGGTGACCGCGACTGCTGGCAATGAGCATGCGAAAAGCATGCGATGCGTCGTCAACCGCCACCAGGGGAGGTGGGTGAGGTGAATCTTCTACTCTCTCCTTAGGCAGCTTGCGACAGAATGATTTAAGGATATGGGTGTTGCGCTAATATAGGGAGGGGTCGCAAAGCATTACACCCGCACTGCGCAAACTCCAATGTCCATAAATGGGGGGTTGCTAAATTCCTACGTGACACGCTAATTGTGTATGCAGTGAAAATAGTGGCCATATTTGGATGTTTTTGTTTGTTTGTTTGTTTTCGGTTTGTTTGTTGTTTGTCTGTTTGTCTGTCTGTCTGTTTTCGTTGTTTTGTTTGCCCAAACATTCCCATTTAACAGAGGTTTCTAACCTGATGTTTTTACTGCAATTGTTAGACAGTATTATGGGAAGTCAAAGTGTTATATCGCCATGGTTACTAGACACGCCTACAAAAGATTGGTTCATAGGACGGGTCTTGAAAGCCTGGGTTCAAGTCGGTGGTTTCACTACACGTTCAATGTTGGAACGAGCAATGCAACAGTTGATGGCATACTGTCAATCAAACTTGAATGAGAACTTGTCAATGAAGCAGGTAAGCGACTGCTATCTTTGTGGGTATGTCTGTCTGTCTGTCCAGTATTTGTACGTCCGCACTGTGAATATTTACATTACACTGTACAGACATCAACTGTGCAGATTACTGACGAGGCCGGTAAGGCAAATTATTGATGGTTTTCACGTCGGCCATGTTGGAGGAATTTAACAAAAGAATTGTCAATTAATTCTTTTGTTATATCCTCCAACATGGCCGCCGTGTCTTTTGTTATTTAATTCTCTTGGGAATGGTTGAAAACCATCAATAGTTGACAAACAAGATATGACTATGAATACTAATGCTAATCAAAGATGACACGTCTCTCTGCCCAAGTCTGTTTCTGTCCCTCTTCCTCGCTTTTTTGGTCGTTGGAATGTCAAGTTGTCTGTTTGAAATGCCTTAAATGCCGGTCTATGTGCAATCTATCTTTGCTTCTGTATTACTATAATTATCTAACTATTGATGGTTTTTAACCATTCCCAAGAGAATTAAATAACAAAAGACACGGCGGCCATGTTGGAGAATATAACAATAGAATTCATTGACAATTCTTTTGTTAAGTTCCTCCAACATGGCCGCCGTGAAAACCATTAACTCGACCGTCTACTTCTGTCTACCAGTCAACGAAAAAAAAATTATTCTCTGTTCTGTTTTTGCAGGTACTGATAAGAATATCATACGATATTTCCCTTGGATTACTACGTGGTATCACCCAAGACACCTACTCATRCTCTTTACCATGGCTACAGGCTTTAGATACCTGCTGTAAATCCCGCTTCCTCGGTTTCCTCTTTCTGCCCCAGTTTCTTTGCGTCCTTCTCCTTCCACAGGGAGCCCAGTCTCTAAGAGACATATCATGTATTGGAAAAAGCCTCGTAGAACCTACAGAAGAGGAACATAGTTCTATTCCAAGTGTTCAGTCTTCTGACGATGAGATTTTTAGCTTTTTTGATGGTTTTTACAACTTAATGTTGTTGTATAAGATTTGGTGGAGAGATTCTTCTGTCTTGAAAAGGTTTAACGGACATGTAAGTCATGATGGCGTAGGTGATCTGGATCCAGTTATATTCGACAAAGTAAATCCCTTACCAARTAACAGTGTTTGCGCAGGACATCAAAGCGACAAGGCCATTGATGTGCCTCTCAAAGAAAGTAATTCTCATAGCAGTGGTCACGTCGATGCAGCGTTTCATGTTGACGACGAGAAAAGGGATGGCATTGCTACTTCAACACAGCTGTATCAGAAAAGTGATAGCTTTTTAGAGAAAAAAGCTATTCACAAAGAGCCTCTTTCATCTTGTACTTCGTTGAATGAGATTCTATCTAATGGTCCCAAGGAACCTTTAGACTTACACTTTGTCATTTCTCGGGTACGTGATGCCCTGCTGCGTAAAGATCTTGTTGTATGCTCGGCCCTCAAAGAACGACTCTTGGAAGTTAAAAAACAAGTGATTCTTCTGCGCTCTAGAAGAATATTAGAATCTGTTGTTGTGAATAAAGCTCCTGCCAAGAAAAAACAGAGCTCAAAGAAGAAAGAAAACCAAAAGTTGGCCTCGAAAGTTGTTGCTGAAAATCTAAGTTCCAAGAGCACTGAAGTGGGAGAAGATGATGAGATGGAAAATGGGACCCACACCCCCACGACTAACGAAACTGAAAACGAAGCCTTGACAGAAGCTGTTAAAGATCTGGGATGCACTATGATGATTGAGGATGATGAGATGGACGATGGTAACACAGGGAGTGGCGACATAGGAGATCAAAGATATAGGGATGTTGAGATGTTAACTGCGCCTGCGCGACCTGAACCACTGGATGTGAGGTATAAAGGAAAAGGATGGTCACTTGAGCTGATGCAAAGTGAAGAACAACGTTTACTTGAAGAATTGTCAAAATATCCATTAAAGGTACCCCTTGTATATGACATCAAAGCAGCTCAATTTGGAGGACAAAACAAAATAAACTCAATCTCCTGAGAATTGATAACTAGCTAAAAACTAGTGTGAGCTGCGTCGGTGTTTCTAATGAAACAGTAATGATAAAAAGGTAATAATAAAAAGCTAAATAATGCACCGTGAAAAGATGAAAAAAATTACTGACTTTTTGGATGCTAGTCCTTCGTCTTTTACTCCAAAGAAGGACTAGCGTCTGAAACGTCAGTAAGTTTTTTCATCTTTTCATGGTATGTAATTTACCTTTTTATCATTACCATTTTCATCTCCTGAGAATTGGAAAGCTATTGTTATGTCCTCCGAATCGACCACTTCGGCGCTAGCCATCACGTGGTATAAATCGTATTGAATTGTGTTACGGTCACTACAAGGTTCGGAAATTGTTCTCGGATTTCGGTACGAATGTACTGACTTTTAAACAAGTTATTTACTCGATTTGTTTAGTTAGCTCCCTAAATACAAGCAAAATATCATTTTTCTAACTCGATTGAAGCTTTTCTTGCTGCTATTTAGAGAAACAGATAAACAAACCAAGTAAATGATTTGTTCAAAAGCAGTACTTTGAACGTAAATCCAATAACAATGTGTTTGTTGTAAATGTTTTTATTGCAAATCGGTGATTCTTTTTAGCTACTTTTTAGCTACAAGCTGTAGAAAGTGTGTTTTCAGTAAATTTCACCCATGGGAATCAGCACATGATTACTTAGCTGCACATGGCCTTTTTACGATAACTTACAAATTTCTCGCGCGCTGATTGGTTATTTATTATCATCATAAAGAGGACAGACAGATAAAGCTGACGTCAACGAGCGCGCGCTCTTTCCATTGGTTGTTTTGATCGCTAAAAATGAGAGGTTTTAATCGTTTTTGTTATTGTAAAAAAAAAACCAGACATCTGTTTTTTATGTGTCTGTTCTCTTATTGACGATAAATTTCATCGACGAAATTTATCGTCAGTGAGAGGACAGACACATAAAAAACTGGTCTCTATTTGTTGAATTGAGCAACCGATTTTAGCTGCAAAAAATATAGGCATTTTCCACCTTACTTTTTAAAAATTTGTTCCCTTTTTTTTTTTTTTCCCCACTTCCAAGGATTTACCATTCCCATACCCTGTTGAAGCGGCATTGGTATTAGGTCACCTGTGTAGTCACGTGATCGCACTACCATGCCATGAGCCTGCGGTGCTGTATGAACTTGGACTTGTGGCAGTAAAATCAGCACTGGAGCATGCTCAGTGGGAACAGGAACTGAATTGCCTCAAGCAACTGGAGACAAAATTAACAGAACTGGCCGGCAAAGAGTGAAGAATGAAATGGTCAACTTTAGAAGGTAAATTCGTAAAGAATTCTACTTGTCAACTCTGCGAAAACTACCCCAAAATAGCTGAAACTCATGTAAGTTTCTATGGCAACACCATCAAACATACCAAACCGATTTTTTGACCCTGCGCTATAACAAACATAAGTTTTAGCCATTTGGGGTTAATTTTCGCAAAGATGTTTCTGTCTGATGATTAGACTTTATTGGAGCCATTGGATGAGTCGTCTTTTTCATATTCTATATTCTCGACAACGAGAAAAAATGTGAAAGAATAGTGAGCACCATTGTTATTTATTTTATAAAGGCTTTCAAATGAGGATTACATCCTGTAAGGCTCAGATATGCACTTTAATTTCCAACATTTGTTTTGGTTGTTCCAAAAAAACCTTAGTTCTAATGCGTCTTTTACGTTATGAATAACACGCTTTTAGTGATAATGTTATGTCGTATGAGATAAGATTTCACTAATAACAATACTGCAATAGAATATAAATATCCGCCCTAGAATGAAAACATAGTGAATAGGTTTAAACGAAGTTTGAAGAAGCAGCAATAGACGATGTTAAATTAGGAATCTTTATCCGTGTTATATATTGTGTCGTCGGAACGGATGTAGAGATCTTTCTTTTTTCTAACCTTTCCATTATTATTTTTTATGAAATATTTGAAATTTGAAATATAACACGTGCACGGATCCACTACGCCTCGTGTTCCTAAATTCTCGTGCTCTGCAGCTCCCAGCTTGTTTCATTATGCGTGCGCGCTTTATACTCCTTGAATATACCGGCGTGTCGCTAATTCTTGAGTTTTTTTCAGCAAAAATAAGAAATACACCAAATTAAAAAAAAATTATAGAAGATGCCCGTGGCGAGAATATTACCATTCCGGATGGTGTTTGTATTTCTCGACATGCAAGAAAATTAATTTGACTCTTACTAGTCCTTGACCAATACTAATGCCTGTCCGGGTATGAATCTAGCTTTTAATAAAGCTGGATATTGATTGATGTGGAGATTATCTTAGGACTCATATCGAGAATCACTGAGGACGTAAAGAAACCCTGGCAGTGACCATCCTCAGTGCCTAGTTTAGTTTAGTTTAGTTTATTTGTCGCAATATAAACATAGATTTTATGAAACTTGAGACATACAAATTTTGTGACTGGCGAAGAAAACAGAACTTTCGTTCCAATTGATATTCCCTCTTCATACAATTTACATACAGTACAAACATGATTAATTTAAAATTGACGAGGAAAAAACGATAATAAAAAGAAGCACATATCAAAATTTATCAAAATTCAAAATTTATCAAAAAGACACCTTATACTAACCACCTTTTGTTGAACGACTCATTTTAAAGCGCCTTTGGTCATATCCATATGGAAAAGAACGCTATATAAAACCATAAGTCATAAATCATTATAGATTGAACCTTGAATACTATATGTCTGTCAAAAACTCAGAAATTTTGCGTTTAGCAAAGATTTTCATCTCCTATCATTGTAAAATCAGTGAAATAGCGCTTAACTTGAGGCAATATCTTTTTTTTCATGGTACTATAATATGAAATTTAGTCTAGTCGCGGGTTTTCAAATTTACAGGAATGTATTGTTTTGATCAATTTATTTTCACAGCAACAAATGTCAAATACACAGTGAATYTGAGTTTTGAGTTTTTGCGGGTAATTCCTGGCAAAGACGTCTTTTTTTATCATAATCATAACTTTGTTTTTTATATATATGAATATCATCAAATGTAATAAAGTGATAGCTTCTTGGAATTAATTTTTGCCCCTGCCATTGTACGAAGGAGCGTATAGTACATAGCAGATGTAGAGTTTGACGGGGATTTTCTAGAAATGACAATTCTTCTTCATAAATATTTACTTTGCCAGTTTTCAACATATTTAAAAGTATCATCAAATATGGTAGAGATATAGCTAAATTAATTGTTTTCCTAGCGATTATAAGAGTGCATACCGAAGATATTAAATTTTTGATTGGGCTTTCAGGAAATGAAAGTTCTTCTTTAAAAAACTAATTTGTACTGGTTTTGTACTGAGGGATTCCTAGTGCTTCTGTAACTATCTGGTATTATTTTTTCTTCGTATGACGCTGCAAATATGTTTATGTCTAACAATGGAGGGAGGTTCCTGAGGATCAAAGTTCGAATTTTCTACTTGAATGTTTTGAAATGATTATTCGGCCTAAATCTAGTTTTAGTATAGTTGAGTATTAAAAAAATAATCCTTATACTGCCTTTTTTTTTTTTTTTTTTTTGCTGCAGCACTAAGCAATAAGAAATAATAATTAGATATCTGTTATTGTTGATTTATCTGGAAAAGCAAGTGCCTTGATGCACTCATAACACACACAAAGTGAGTATTTACACATGGATTGTATTTACTTCGGTGAATACATTTCATATTACTTATCTTGGTTTTTAGCCAATTGGTGAGAGAAGGTGATTTACAGTTTAAGAGTAGCACCGTGAATTTCACACGTTCGTGTGATTATGTCATGAAAATCGCTCTCTGCCGAAGCAGTAATTTCATTAGCGACAGGTGCATTGGTCTTAAGACGATGTTTCAATTTTATTGTTCAACGAAATGCAGTTTTCTCCCTACCTTAACCAGGTTTTTCATGCCTGTATTCTAATTTACTAAGTCACAGAATGGTCTGTTCGAATATTGCATGATCAATTTACAGGTAAGAAATTCAGTGAGAGATTTAAACTACGATTGAAATTACAATAATGTTCCAGTAAGGTTCCGATGTCACTTCAAATCACCCATATCATCATACTTTTTGTAGAAAACCCTTGTAATAGACATCTTAAAAAAAATACCAGGAATGATGTCCCATAATTTCTGATATACTTTTGATATACTTTTGAATATGAACAAAAATGGATCAGAAATTTTGCAGCATATTGCTGTATATTTATGTATCATGTATAGTTTTTCCACATAAGTTTATCTATCACTGTTCTCCTAAAATCGTTCTTTGTTTGGTCTCTCGCTCTTAGTATAAAAAGGAATTAATATAAAATTTATATAATGTTAGCTTTTTTGTTGCGATTTTATAATCGTAAGTAATCTCGTATTTTATAATTATTTAACTGGTGTACGCAGCAGGTGTACTTTTAGTTAAAGTTCATTTACATGATTGTATGTATTAATAGAGTTTATTTGATAGAGTTCTCTCCCTTGCCAGAGGGGTTTTTCTCCAGCTCCGGGTTCTCCTGTTGTCCTTCTTTCGTAAAAATGAACGTAGGAGTTGAGAGTTGTGTGCTTAGAACGTTCAAAGTAGTGTTAGTGAGTGTGGAGTGAGATATACTTTAACAATGCCTCTGGCTAGGGAGAGTCGGCAACTAATCCCCGTATCACGACATTCATTTCATTTCATTTCATTTTATTTTATTTTATTATTCATTTTTTGTTATTTTTATTATATTTATTATTATATTATTATTATATTATTATCATATTATTATTTATATTATAATTTATTTTATTTATTTATTTTTTTTAATTATATTTTTATTATTATTACGACAATAGCATGGATCAGGGCTAAAGTATCTTTTTCCCTGCTAATATCGTCGCTTCTCTGTCTCCGTGGATCAAGAACTTTGAAACGAACATTCAATGACATTAATAACATTAATAACATAGATCTTGATATTCAGACTGTAGAAAGTTCAATTTTATAATTAATGAGAAACAGTTGCTAGAGAGTGCAGGAAGGACGTCCCGTTGGAGCTCCT